TGAAATATGAATTCATTCTGCTCTGGACTAGGACAGGTGTCATTCTCAGAGAATCAAAAATGGAAGAAAAAAATCCTATAAATATTTACTCGTTTAAGGAAAACATGCTTACTTGGCTCTGGAGGTCATACGACTTTTTAGCATGCAGGATTTGTGGAGTATCCCAGACATAACATCCAAGTCCCTTCAGCCAGTTTAAGTCATCTTTATACACCACCTACATGGAAGAAAACAGACTGTCAAGTTAGGAAGAAACTTACCTTCCACTTGAAGAAAGCAGTATTTGTTTCTTCTCTGTATTCAGTATCTTCCACTGAATCTGAACCAGGCTTATTCAGAAATTCCAGTGTGAGCACAGAGGAGACTAGCCCACCTCACAGTCTGAGTGAATGATTTTTACCCACAGGATGTGCAAGGGAAACTAAACCAAGTAACATAGCATAGTAACAGGCCAGGCAACTAACACATCATCACATTTCATTAGGAAGGTTGGTTGGCCCAAGCTGGCATACTGTTGACTACGTAACACGAAAAAGTGTGGTGGTTCACTGTGCCATTCACTCAGCTCAGACTCTGTGGACTGACACAACCCCAACAAACACAGAGAAGTCTTTTCCAGATTGTGGATGCTGTCCCGGTCCCTGTGCGAATTACAGCATTCCCAGCTGCAATACATTGTCTGACTGTACCATGGTACATTCACATCTTTCCTCTGCATGTGCTAGATTGTAAGCTTTCTATACAGTGTCATCCAGCCAAAGAGAGACTGTTGACAGCAGTAACCTTTGCAAAGGTTTCATAAATGTTAACTTACAATTTTTCAAATTTACAAGTGAAAAATAAATAACCAGACCATAAAAATGTCCCAAAGAAAATGGTAAAAATTTAATTTTTGGTATTATGCTACTAAGCAATCTAAAACCATGGTTATTATTTTCATATTTAAATACTATGGAAGATATTTGAAAATATTTTCTATTTACATACTTTCGAAAAAATCACATGAAAGGCTATTAAAATGTCAAACAAATAAATGAAACACATACATCACTCAAAATTTCCTGGGCTTTTCTGGCTTGAATAACATCATTTTCTTCAGGTGAACAATTCCAGTGATGGAAGTAATTTCGGTATTCGAGATCACTGAGGATATACTGGCACTTCTTGGCTAGCACATGATTCATCATGTCACTTGGAATATGGACATTTGCTTTGGTGTCTTCATAATTCTTTCTGTATGCCAACTAAAAAGGGAAGATTGGGGAAAAGGCAAGAAGAGAGAATAGTGTTTTTCTGCACAATTTTGATAGGCTACAGGTTATAGCATAATCTGAGGCATGCTTTCTGGACTTTGTGGCTGAGCTCCAATGGGATTTAACAGGATGCAATCTTAACTTTGATATGAATCACCACTTATTCTGATGAGGTTCTAGAAGGACAAGAATGACCTTCTTCACTTGCAGATTTAACAGCTGGTGAGAAAATTAACAAGACTTCAAGATAAAAAAAGTCATATGCTAAAAACATGATTTTAATCTAGTTAAATCTCCCTATCCAAATGAAGACAGAATATTTGGGATTACACTACCTTTATGCCCTGCATGACATGCTATAAGTACAGTAGTGATAATAGCAAAACACCAAATGTGCATTTGCTTTTCCAGTTCTTAAATTCCTATTTCAATTCAAAATTAATACTTTTTTTTCTGTAAAGCAAGAGCATCCCAAGTCATGTAGTATTTCTTACTGCTCAGATTCTTAAATGGAAATAGAAAAAAGTTTTTTCTCTATTCTAGTATGTCTAATAGCTAAACAAACCCCTTCCTTACCTCCTAAAAAATTTCAAGTTCAATTATCCAACCCACATACAAAATAACCATTCCAGAACATAAACATGTTGAAAATACTTTTACTGATGTTACTAAGCATTGCATTATTTATGTTTAGATACGTTACACTAAAATAAAGAAAATGGAAAATACTATAGCAAGACTAATTCTCTCCTTACCGCGCTCCTCATTTTCTGGAATGCTAGCGAATGAATGACACTGGGGAAATCACCAATCTCCTTCCCAGCCAGGTAATGGCCTTTCAACTTCTCATATATTTCCTTATATTTAAGCTGCAAAATATTAACGTAGAAATGTTAAAGTTCATTCTACCAACATATAGGGGAAAAAAAGAGAAAGAATGGAAAAATCATACTAACCTCACTATTTATGTAGTTTGCACGCTTCGCTCCAACAACTGGAATATATTTCTCATCCAAAGTATACCCAATGGGCTTGCTAATTTCCCAAGCATTTTTATAAAGTTTCTAGACAAACAAAACACATACAAGTTTTGATAAAAAGTCCATTACAGTTTCCAAGAAACCTGACCCTGCCATTTATACGCACGTGTAATATGACTACTTTTATAGAGTAGTTCCTTATTCCATGAATTGTCCCAGTAAAGTAAATGCAGAATGCACATTTTGAACACTTATTCAGCAGGAGTAAGGCAAACAGAATAAACGTTCCAATTCAGGAAGGTACCTGAGCACAAATTTGAGCTGATCTCTGCTTTCTTTACTGGATTTGGAATTCAGCATTTCTCATCCAGAAGAGTGATGAAAATACCCATAATGCAGATATGAATTCTTAACAGTGCCATATAAAATTGATAATTTTATAAATACGTGTTCAAAATTGTGAAAAATCTTCAAGTAACACTATTGTTTATTATAAGAGCATTAACAGTGTCAGTGGCACTTTTCTAATACATCATGTTTTGGTTTTTGTAACATATTAAACATGTTTACCTTCAGACTAAATTATGAAGCACATACTCATATGAATGAACAGTCACTTACATTTTCAAAAATAGAGATTTTCCATTAAACTTACTGAGACTACTCAAAAGCAACTGCTTAATAATGTATATCATCTACAGTTTTCCTCTCATAAAAAATAAACCTAAATTTCATCAGTAGTCTAGGAAGATAGTATTGGATGGAATTATAAATTGTTTTTGTCACACAAACTCTAGTACTACTACTACTACTACTGCTATTACTACTTCCAAACACCACACAGCAGTGCTTTAAGATCAGTTCAGTAAGTAATTATCCTTATCCCAATGATCAAACTGGGAAAAACCGAAAAAAAAGAGATTAAATACCCTTCCAGTGCCACCCAGTAGACTAATGAGAGAAACAGAAATAGAACAGTTTTCTGAAGTCCACTCCACACTCTGTTGCTTCCAAAACAAACAAATTAAAGCTTATTTAGATATTTATCAAATTTTACCTCACTGTATAGTAAGGACATGTCTTTGGCATGGTTCAGCGCAGGAGTATCATCAGACCCAATATACTGGCCTTTCTCAAGGTTAAATGTTTCTTTGTATTTCAGCTACAAAAGAAAACAAACACAACGCTAATTACACATGAGAAATAAGTTATCCCAAGTAGTCCATCTATCAGGAGCAGACATTAATTTTCTGTTACGTTATTGTATCCTCAGTAATGTTGTGTAGTACACTGCAGTCACTACAGTACACAGGCAAATGTGATCAGTATGTCACACCACAAAATCCACACAGTATTCTAGTGAAGTTAAGCACACTAATAAGTAAATACAGGTTAGTAGGGACACCAGGAACTCCACTAGCACTATACAACTAGCTGCTGTTCACCAAGAACAGAACTCAATTTTAAACTACTGTAAGCAAAAGCTGTGTAAACTCTAAATAAGGGATATGCTATATTCTTCTACAGAAAAATGCAAAATTATTTTGGATACCAATGTTCTGTTGTTCGTTTATCACTTCTTGCTTATTTACCCCAGTAAAAGTCTATTATTAATGAAGCACGCATATGCACACACACATACATAACGCTAAACATAGTGTAGGTTAGCAAAAGCAATTAAGTAGTCTACTAACAACAGTTTCTATCTAAAAAAAAGTACATACATCACTCTGATTGACAGAGTTAATCTTTGCCAAAACAATGTCAGGAGTGTCAACCACACTGGTATAATTGGAAAAGTTATCCAGGGCTTCTTTCGTATATGCTCTCTGCAAAGAGATGAGATACCTTCTTAAGCACTGTGCATGACAAAGAAAAGCTGATTGCATAACTGCTAAAATATTTTTTCTTACCTTGTTTATCAGTTCTTGTGCATTCTTAACTTTCTTGTGTTCCACTGAGTCCAGAGGAATCCAGCCACAGCCACGAAGCCATTCCAAATCAGACTTATAAATATTCTAAATCACAAAAGGTAATAAAAAAGGAAAGAAATTGTTTAATTCAGGATGACATTTTTCAGTCTTACATAACATGGACAATATACTTTGACCAAACTAAGTGGAAATTACACGGTATGCCTGTAACATCGCTTACATCACTTTGCAGATCGTAGGCCTTCCTTGCCTGAATACAGTCATTCTGGTCAGGATGGCACGTCCATTCGTGCAGGTGTTGGCGGTAGTCAATATCGCTGACCAAGGTCTGACATTCCTTTGCTGCTACAACTGACACCATATCCGGAGGGATGTGAATTTTGGACTTTGTTTTGTGATAGTCTGATTTGTACAATCTGTCATTCTGGATCTCGCCTGCATGCTCAAACCACACCAGTTTTGGATCATCTCTCATGCTGGCAACTCCAACATAGTGACCTCTTTGTTTGACGTAGTCAGCTTTGTATTTAAGCTGATGGAAGAGGGGAGAAATATGTGTAAAATCAGCACTGATTATATCTGCTCTGTTTTTAACCTGTGAACAGCTACAGTCTTGTCAACACAAAGAATAGATGAGACAGTGAGTTGTCAACTCCAGTCTTAGGTTTTTGGTACATGACCAGATGAAAACACGACACAAACAGAATGTTACTTTGTCTAGTCCTTCCACTTCAAAATACATAATTTCCTGGACTAATATGCTACCATTTTTCAGTAAACAGTATTTTCAACACAAGAGGAAAGCCTTGTTGGAAAACATTTGCTAATAAGTGCATTTAGCCTCAGTTTTGTAATAGATTTTTGTAACAAATTATTTGAGAATGTCTGAAGAGTGGATGCTTATTTAAAATACTTACATCACACTGTTTTGATAAAACATATATTCAAACTAAGAGTCAGGTAATAATTTCAACGTCCATTATGCAAAAGTTTAAAATGTAATGTGTGTGCTATCTTACAGTTTTTCAAGGAGGACGCCTCCATAATATGCCAAGAAGTGAAGAGCTATATATTATAATCATAATACCACTTCAATTATTGAACATTTATAAAATATGGAAGTCAACCTTAGTTGCTTTTGAAAGGATTGCTTCTGGAGAAAGTGAAGGTGGAAAGGAGACTCTGACCTTTCAGCACTGATATCTGTAAAACCCACAATAACATAGATGGCTGAATCGTTTGGAGGACATTTGCCCCTAATGCAAAGCTTTCTATGTCTGTTGTTGAATTTGCAAGGCCTTTTACATTTCCATGCTTCCAAGAACTTGAGAAAAATTATTACCTCACTTTGGACATCATTGGAGTGTTTGGCATGAGAGATCTGCACAGTGTCAGGAGGTAAGAGGTAACCAGTGGCTTTTTCTTTCTCCCAACTTTCCTTGTATAAATTCTGTGGAAAATAAAAGTGAGGAAGAATTCAACACTACTATAATAATAACTATTACCATATATGTGTAACCAATATTAAAGTATAAGGACTATGAATCCTTCCTTTAGGATGTTCTTAATAAGGCAATTTTTCTATATTCCTTAGAGTTATTAATGTAAGTAGAAACTGTCCAGAAGAGATCACGCACCTGATTAAGAATTCTGGCTGCCTCTCGGGCCATATCTAGCTGTGGTGTATCTGTTAGAGTGTAATTTGACTTGACCTCATTCCATGCTTTGTGGTATTTAACCTAGAACAGAGAAAGAAATTACCGTCTTGCAGCACACCATCACAAATTGGGAAAACATAATACCAAGACCCATATTGTATGCACAAAATAACGTATAAAACCCTGGATTTGCAAGGCTATTAGACATGAGACATTAAATATACATATAAATGGATACTTTTTAAAAAAAGAAATTATACAAGACAAGAAATTACAAAACTTCCCAGAGAAAACTTTGAAAACTTGTTCCAAGGCAGCTGGATGGACAGGGAAGAATCTTCAGAAGTGTTTGACTCAGGGCAATAGATTTTAAGCTTTTTAAGAGCAAATCTCTTTACTCAGCATGACCTCTATGTGAATGCAGCATTCTGGCATCTCCCAACCACAAAGACCTGCACTGTCACGCTCCCGAGCACAGGACATGCCCAAGTGTGTACATGGTTGCACGGCAGTATGGCGTTCAATTCAACCGTATCATCGTTATTGCCAACATTTTACCTTGAGTTAATGTGTTGAGCCTGGCCTGTCCTCTGGCAGAAGCATACAGTGAAAAAGAAACACAAACTCACAAATTGAGAGGGGGTCATGTCATTTCATGTTCACCGACCAGCTCCTCACAGACTAGCTTCAAAAACATATAAAGAATGGCAAGCTGCCAGCACATGAGTTTTGCTCATGTTTATTGTTACATGGTAGTTAACTAAAAAGTGTAAGATCATATTGGCATAAGTGAGAAGGATTAAACATTATGGTTGCCAGAGTGCAAGAGGCTATTTGTGTTCATGTTGTCAATGATCAACAGTAATATCAGTCAAGACTGAAAGAAGGGACTGGCTGCAGAACTAGCACTGGCTTTTCACATGTCTAGGAAAGATACTCTGCTTGAGGAGCTTCCTCCCTCCTAAGTGATGGAGATAAGCTAGTAAAGTCCTGTTCATCTTTATGTCGTACATTTACAGAATTCCCAGAGACGGATCAAGAATTCTTTGCATTTTTTTTAAAGATAAAATAAACTTCCTTTTAAAGATAAAATCCTACCATGTAAATACACAGACCAAGTTAACAGCCCAGAGACATGCTAGAAAACTTACATCGCTAACAATTTCACCACTATTCTTTGCTGTGATATAATCAACTCTGTCCGCCACTGGAGTAAATGGAAGCGTTTCAGCTTTTGTACGGTACTTTCTCTATATGGGAGAAAAGATGAACAGTCAGATTATACTAGAATATTTTCTAGTTAACACAGAAATTCTGAATACATAGACAAGAAAGTTTACACGGAAAGAAAAACTCTCCATACACAATGAATGCTGTGGAAATACTCTAGCTGTATTTTTTATTTTAAAAAACATTGATGCATTTAAAAAGTAAAAATATGTTAAACTGCAAATACTCTTAAGAAAATTTTAGTATTAAAAAAACATTTTGTTACCTCATTCAAGAGATCTCCAGCATGTTTGACATGGTTGATTCCAACTGAATCATTTGGCAACCATCCAATACCCCGTAGCCATTCTAAATCAGATTTGTAAATAGCCTGGGAAAACAAAATAGGGTCCATGCTGTTAGCTACAATTCACTGTACAATCCAGCAAGATTCATAAATAATGGCACTTACTTCCACTGATTAAAAGTGCAGTAATTACAACATAAGCACTATATCTGAATTTATCACTCTTCAAACATGGCAATATACAGCAGTAACGTTGCATTCCTAATAAACAGCAAAGCCAATACACTGAATTCAGCAGAAGATCCCCACTACTTAGAGCTGAAGCAGACTATGAGCAGACAATACAGTAATAAGTTAAGCTAAGTTTTCATGTTAACTCACATCACTCTGAAGATCATAGGCTTTCCTCGCCTGTATGACATCATTCTGATCTGGAAGACAGATCCACTGATGCAAGTAATGACGATAATCAACATCACTGACCAAAGACTGACCATGTTTCGCTGATAGGATAGATAGCATGTCTGCTGGCAGGTGGCACTGTGTCTTCCATTTGGCAAAGTGTTTCTTGTACTCTAATTCGCTCTGAACTTTGCCTATGCCGAGGGCAAACTGCATTTTTGTATCTGCTTTTGCATTTGGAACTCCAACATAATGTCCTTTCTGCTTCTCATGATCCAGTTTGTATTTATACTGGGTAAAGAGCAAAGATCACCGTCACTAACAGTTATCATGAAATAGCTCTTGAAGCATATGAAGAGCTAGATGCCTCTTTTGGCACTTACATCACTAGCAATTTCTCTAGAAGCTTTGGCTGCCTTGATTGGGATTGCATCTGCTCTCAAATCATAACTGATCTTCAGCTCATCCCAAGCTTCTTTATACAGTTTCTGAAAAGACAGCAAAATGTCATACGTATGCTAAATATTCTGGCATTTGCCATTAAAGAAACACATAGTTTACTGCCATTTATTTGCTGAAATACCATGAGAATTTTTTGTGTGCTACTCTTGCTCCTAGACATAAAAACTGCTGCAAATCTTACTGCCTTTCAAATACGTACAGTAGCTGCAACACCAGTTTTACAAACACTCTTCTATGCAGTACATGCTGCAAAAGTTCAGAAAATATTTATATGCCTTGGCCTCTCATCCATTTCAACAAAACATTATCTCAATGCTGCATGATATTAATAATTTTTGAACAGCTGTATGTGAGTATTTATTGTAAAATGTCCAAATGGTTTAAGAATACTCAGCAGAGGGAAGGGAATGTTGCAAGCCCTTTACGTCAGACTTCAATGATATTTACGTGACTCAATCTTCAGCTTTGTAAGTAACATCTTAGAATGTTCAAATTCACACAACACACATACTGTTTTTTAGAAATGTAGAAAATAGAATGATAAGCATACCTGGCTATAATTAGCAGCATTAGTCTTGGCTAGGTTGATTTCAGGTGTGTCTGGCATAATATGGATCATAGTCTTGTCCTTTTCCCAGGCTTCTTTGTATTTTGGCTGTTAAAAGAGTTCATTTTATGATATTGTAATAATGGAATTTCACTTGCCAATAACATAAATTCCCATAAATCCCTCCTGAATTATCATCTCTAAAATATAAAATATCTGGAAAAGCATTAATCCTGATTCAGAATACCACTGACGAATTTTATATTTTAGCAGTGAGATTTCTCTTTAACTCTTTACAGCCTCGAAAAAACTTTAAAAACATTGTAACGTACAATGCTGACTTGTTCCGCGTTCACTTTAGCTAGAAGAACATCTGGAGAATCAACAACACTGGTGTACTTCAGGCTTTCAATGGGTGTACGATACACATTATCACTCAGGAGATCCTGGGCATGCTTCACTCTCTTAACATCTGGAGAGTCATTAGGCAACCAGCCAATTCCACGCAGCCATTCTAGGTCTGACTTATACACAACCTATATCAGAGAGGGTCAGAAAAGGAAACCATCATGTTTAAAATGACTGTCATAGTTATTTTAAGCTATACAAAGCAGTATATGTTTTAGAAAATGTCAAATCAGTCAGAGCTAGATTAATTCTTTTTATATACAAGAGATGTTCACTATCATAAGTAAAATACAATCTGGGAACCAGGTTTTAATTAGATCATTTATAAACAATACATTCTAAACCTTATGTAGTCAAATAGAGGGGAAACATGTGGACCAAACTGCCGCTAATGATGATGAGTATTATAACTCAAAAGAGTTTTCCTGTCCCCTCCAAAATAATTGCTCCTCTAGTCACTTCAACAATTTACAAGTCCAAACAAAAAATCAAACATCTGACAAGGAAATTTGACAAAAAGGAGGAAAAAAATGGGTTATAGAGGTAAAAGGACTAGAGCTAGCTGGCATAACTCCTGAAGTGGTATCAGACAACATTATTTAAGTTTCAGTGGAGCAAATCCTTCAGCAAGGAACTTGAATTTCACCTCCAAACCTCATAATTGAAGCAGAGGAAGAGTGACAGATGTTGAGTGATAAGCAGCAAAGCCAAGTCAGGAAATCAGCTGCACTGACGACTCCTGCTTTGAATTTGGCCATTTAAACATCTCACCTGCTATCTTACACAGTTTTCTCGCAATTAAATAAATTTCAAAGTTGACTCAGACAAACAGGAGTAATAAAATGCACCTGATTCCAAAGAGGCAAACATGTAATTTGGTAAGTCCCATCAGAGACAAATCCCTCACCCTCTCCAAATCACAATTACCCAAAAGCCTATGTAACATGGCAGATAGAAGCTGAAGCTTTTATACAATTAAGACGTAATACTAATACGTTTTAAAGGATAAAAAGAACAGATAATAGCAATAAGATGAAAAACTAAAGAAAACAGTCTAACAAAAAATCCATTGTGATTCTATAATACCAAAGAAAAAAAAAAGGCTATAACATATAAAATAGCAACACTAGTAACAGCCACATCTCTACACATACGCACATCACTCTGTAGGTCGTAGGCCTTCCTTGCTTGGATCACGTCATTCTGGTCAGGCAGACAGGTCCACTGGTGAAGGTAGTGGCGGTAGTCCACATCACTGACTAGTGTCTGGCACTCCTTGGCTGCCTGCACTGACATCGCGTCGACCGGAATGTGGATCCGGGCCTTGGAATCGTGGTACGCCTTCCTGTAAAGGCGGTCGTTCTGCAGCAACATGGCACGCGCAGCCCACGACAGCTTGGGATCCTCCCGGGCAGTTCGGCACCCGATGTAGTGGCCCTTCTGCTTCTCGTGTGTCTCTTTGTACTTGTACTACAAATGCAGAAACAACGTCAGTAGCCACGTATTGTTCATCTGGACGTTACTAATGAGCTAAAGGCTTTCAGATTCCTAAGCTGCCATCCCTTTAAACTGCAGTTCATTCCGTTCTGCTGAGCACATGGGAAGAGACAGACGCAGCAACCCCATTAAGACAAGACCGTACCTCGCTAGCAATGTCTCTGGAAGCCTTGGCGTGTTTGATGGGAATGGCATCAGCTCTTATGTCGTAGCTTTTTGCCTTGGCCTCATCCCAGGCCTTCTGATAGTGTTTCTGTAAGGAAAATTAATCGCCCTTGTTACATGCAATCAGGACTCTATGACACCAATGACTTCATTTGAAAACTACTATGGAAGAGCAACTGTCGTACTCCTCATTTCATAATGTTTCACATGAATAACAATTATGTTCTCTTACGTTGCTGATGTTGAGAGCATTGGCTTTGGACTGCAGCATTACAGGAGTATCGGAAGGGATGGAAATCTGCGTCTTATCTCTGTCCCAGGCTTCACGGTACAGATGCTAAGGAGAAAGGAAGCAGAATGACATTTCAATACTGTCTGAACACTAAAAGTAACCCTACCAACACAAATTCTTTAGCAATTCTGATTTGCAATAGTTCCCTATTCAGCATTCCCATGGTACAAATTCCAGTCTCTACCAAAACAAAAAGAAAGCTCATCACAGAAGTGAAAAGTAAGTGACAGGCAAGCTTACATCACTGATCTGCAGAGCATTGATCTTAGCCTGGACAACGTCTGGCGTGTCAGTAATGCTGGTGAATTTCAGCTCCTCTGGCCGTGTGCGGTACAACCTCTCGTTCAGGAGGTCCTGGGCTTTCTTTGCTTTCACCACATCCACAGAACCTTCTGTCAGCCAGCCGATGCCTCGCAACCACTCCAGGTCTGACTTGTACACGTTCTACAAATAAACCAAGGGTTATTGCCACTGCAGAAACGACTCCACATACAGAGAGGTTTGTACAAGGCTTTCCCAAGCTCCTTCTCTCACAGTTACACAGCAAGCAGCCAACGACACTGTGCTGTACCAGGTCCTTTCCACACACAGCTAAATCCTGTTTCACACAGCAGCAAAGGGACTTTCAAAGGTACTTGCTACATGGAAACCAGTGGCACAATCCGCAAGCATTCTGCAAGCAAACTGCAAGCAAACATTCGACAGCGGACCAAAGAAACATCACTTCCCTATGAACTGCCCAGAACACTTCTGACCCCCAAGCTGAAAATGCTACCGAGCTGCCAAGGATCATCCAGAGGAATTAAAATAAACATACCAGGACTGACGGCAGGCTCATGAACGTGCACTTGAAAGGGTATTTGCCCAGTCACTAACAAACAGAGCCTCACACACCTGCCGTAAGTTTTTCTACAGTTAAGCTCACTCACATCACTCTGTAGGTCGTAGGCCTTCCTTGCTTGGATCACGTCATTCTGGTCAGGCAGACAGGTCCACTGGGGAAGGTAGCACTCCTTGGCTGCCTGCACTGACATCGCGTCGACTGGAATGTGGATCCGGGCCTTGGAATCGTGGTACGCCTTCCTGTAAAGGCGGTCGTTCTGCAGCAACATGGCACGCGCAGCCCACGACAGCTTGGGATCCTCCCGGGCAGTTCGGCACCCGATGTAGTGGCCCTTCTGCTTCTCGTGTGTCTCTTTATACTTGTACTAGAAATGCAGAAACTACATCAGCAGCCATGTATCGCTCACCTGGACGTTACTAATGAGCTAAAGGCTTTCAGCTTCCTAAGCTGCCAACCCTTTAACCTGCAGTTCATTGTGTTCTCTCAAACTGTACATGGGAAGAGACAGACGCAGCAACCCCATTAAGACAAGACCGTACCTCGCTAGCAATGTCTCTGGAAGCCTTGGCGTGTTTGATGGGAATGGCATCAGCTCTTATGTCGTAGCTTTTTGCCTTGGCCTCATCCCAGGCCTTCTGATAGTGTTTCTGTAAGGAAAATTAATCGCCCTTGTTACATGCAATCAGGACTCTATGACACCAATGACTTCATTTGAAAACTACTATGGAAGAGCAACTGTCGTACTCCTCATTTCATAATGTTTCACATGAATAACAATTATGTTCTCTTACGTTGCTGATGTTGAGAGCATTGGCTTTGGACTGCAGCATTACAGGAGTATCGGAAGGGATGGAAATCTGCGTCTTATCTCTGTCCCAGGCTTCACGGTACAGATGCTAAGGAGAAAGGAAGCAGAATGACATTTCAATACTGTCTGAACACTAAAAGTAACCCTACCAACACAAATTCTTTAGCAATTCTGATTTGCAATAGTTCCCTATTCAGCATTCCCATGGTACAAATTCCAGTCTCTACCAAAACAAAAAGAAAGCTCATCACAGAAGTGAAAAGTAAGTGACAGGCAAGCTTACATCACTGATCTGCAGAGCATTGATCTTAGCCTGGACAACGTCTGGCGTGTCAGTAATGCTGGTGAATTTCAGCTCCTCTGGCCGTGTGCGGTACAACCTCTCGTTCAGGAGGTCCTGGGCTTTCTTTGCTTTCACCACATCCACAGAACCTTCTGTCAGCCAGCCGATGCCTCGCAACCACTCCAGGTCTGACTTGTACACGTTCTACAAATAAACCAAGGGTTATTGCCACTGCAGAAACGACTCCACATACAGAGAGGTTTGTACAAGGCTTTCCCAAGCTCCTTCTCTCACAGTTACACAGCAAGCAGCCAACGACACTGTGCTGTACCAGGTCCTTTCCACACACAGCTAAATCCTGTTTCACACAGCAGCAAAGGGACTTTCAAAGGTACTTGCTACATGGAGAGCAATGGCACAATCTGCAAGCATCCAGCAAGCAAACTGCAAGCAAACATTCGACAGCAGGCCAAAGAAACATCACTTCCCTATGAACTGCCCAGAACACTTCTGACCCCCAAGCTGAAAATGCTACCGAGCTGCCAAGGATCATCCAGAGGAATTAAAATAAACATACCAGGACTGACGGCAGGCTCATGAACGTGCACTTGAAAGGGTATTTGCCCAGTCACTAACAAACAGAGCCTCACACACCTGCCGTAAGTTTTTCTACAGTTAAGCTCACTCACATCACTCTGTAGGTCGTAGGCCTTCCTTGCTTGGATCACGTCATTCTGGTCAGGCAGACAGGTCCACTGGTGAAGGTAGTGGCGGTAGTCCACATCACTGACTAGTGTCTGGCACTCCTTGGCTGCCTGCACTGACATCGCGTCGACCGGAATGTGGATCCGGGCCTTGGAATCGTGGTACGCCTTCCTGTAAAGGCGGTCGTTCTGCAGCAACATGGCACGCGCAGCCCACGACAGCTTGGGATCCTCCCGGGCAGTTCGGCACCCGATGTAGTGGCCCTTCTGCTTCTCGTGGGTCTCTTTGTACTTGTACTAGAAATGCAGAAACTACATCAGCAGCCATGTATCGCTCACCTGGACATTACTAATGAGCTAAAGGCTTTCAGATTACTAAGCTGCCAACCCTTTAAACTGCAGTTCACTCCGTTCTGCTGAGTTGGACATGGAAAGAGACAGATGCAGCAACCCCATTAAGAGAAGACCGTACCTCACTGGCAATGTCTCTGGAAGCCTTGGCGTGTTTGATGGGAATGGCATCAGCTCTTATGTCGTAGCTTTTTGCCTTGGCCTCATCCCAGGCCTTCTGATAGTGTTTCTGCAAGGAAAATTCATCGCCCTTGTTACATGCAATCAGGACTCTATGACACCAATGGCTTTTCTCAAAACCTACTCTCTTGGAACTAACAACTTGGGTGCCCTGTTTGTTCGCTGTAACTGACAGGATTACAATAATGAACCTAGCAAGTGTCTTAACAGAAAACTCATCACCCAGTAGTTAAACTAGGGGCAAAATTCAAAACACCGAGAGGCAGCCTAACTATTCCTGAAAACACATCACAACTTCCCATCTAACAGACTACTGCTGAACACATGCAGTATGTTTGGCTCACAACATAGGCCCCAAACAGGCATTCCAACTGACAGGGTGTACACCTCAATGACCAATTCCACATGACCCTACAACAGTCAGAGGATCTGCCCACACACACATGATTGTGGGGTCATAGGTACCAGCGACAAAACATTTGATCTACTGACAAAATATATCCAGACTCTACTTAAGTTATGAAGCCTCCCGACAGCTGCTAGAGTCTTCTTTCTTCACCAGTCCTTTTTAGTCCTATCAAGAAAGTGAGTGCATGCAGAGAGGCTCAATCCATTCACAAGACTGAAGAGAAACCTAAGTCCCTCCATGTGTCTAGAGATACCCAACCTTGTCCAGGACATCAAGCCCAAGAACATGAGGGCTGCTTCTTTAGTGGCACCTTGGTCCACAGCAGCTTCACAAGCCCAGCTGGCAACTTTATCTTTAGTACAGATGGGTAAATGATGTGCTTTTTCATTCATTTTTGTGACTGTGGAAATTCATAAACTGAATGCTATTGCAGGTAACACTATAAGGAACTTTTTAAAAAAAACAACTCAAAGAACGAGCAGGAAGTACAAAAACAGTAATCAAAGAAAGGGCAGGACCGAAACAAGGGAAGTGAAATGTCTGTTGCAGTAATACTTGAAATATTTCACACCTAATTCAATCACATCAGGTACTTCTGAAAAATATTTAACATACTATCAACATCAAGAAATGCTGGGAGTAGATACTTTCCAGGCAAAGCCACAAACATGAAAAATGCAAAATGGAAAATGTTTTCAGCTTTACAGAATCTCCAGTGTGTTAGTCCCATAAAACCAGTGAGTGAAACAACACAAATCTGCAAGACGTGTCAGGGCTGATGCGTCTGTGGACTCCAACAACTCCTCCATGGAAAGTATTCGCCAGTTTTTGTCAAAGGGAGGAGTAGTTGTGTGGACTTGCACACCGAACTTCGGAGTTTGCTCATAAACACACAACCCATCAAGGAAGCCAGGCAACTCTGTCAATCGCCCCCTCAGGAACCTGCGCAGTCTGATACGAAAGGCATCAGTGCTGGTATGCTCATAGAAGCAGTTCTACCTATTTCACATTCATGGGGACTGAGAGAGCTTACAATGGAATGGCTTTCAGACCAAAACCTTGGGCATCCTTGCATAATGAATGTCTGCTTCACTAAGAGTGCTTGCTGATTAATCAACAACACCGACTGCCTACAGAGCCGCTAGTTGTAATCTATGTTTTAGAATACAAGCACATTAGAATAAGGTGTTAGCACACCACCATTTAGAGCAAAATCTAAAAGACACAGCCCAAAAACTGGAATAACAATTGCCACTCAATTTTGTAAGACGTCAAATGCATATCATCTCATTCTCTTACGTTGCTGATGTTGAGAGCATTGGCTTTGGACTGCAGCATTACAGGAGTATCGGAAGGGATGGAAATCTGCGTCTTATCTCTGTCCCAGGCTTCACGGTACAGATGCTAAGCAGAAAGGAAGCAGAATGACATTTCACTACGGTCTGAACACTGAAAATAACCCTACCAACACAAATTCTTTAGCAATTCTGATTTGCAATAGTTCCTAATACATCATTCCCATGGTACAAATTCCAGTTTCTACCAAAACAAAAAGAAAGGTCATCACAGAAATGAAAAGTAAGTGACAGGCAAGCTTACATCACTGATCTGCAGAGCATTGATCTTAGCCTGGACAACGTCTGGCGTGTCAGTAATGCTGGTGAATTTCAACTCCTCTGGCCGTGTGCGGTACAACCTCTCGTTCAGAAGGTCCTGGGCTTTCTTTGCTTTCACCACATCCACAGAACCTTCTGTCAGCCAGCCGATGCCTCGCAACCACTCCAGGTCTGACTTGTACACGTTCTACAAATAAACCAAGGGTTATTGCCACTGCAGAGACAACTCCACATACAGAGAGGTTTGTACAAGGCTTTCCCAAGCTCCTTCTCTCACAGTTATACAGCAAGCAGTCAATGAGACTGTGCTGTACCAGGTCCTTTCCACACACAGCTAAATCCTGTTTCACACAGCAGCAAAGGGACTTTCAAAGGTACTTGCTACATGGAAACCAGTGGCACAATCTGCAAGCATCCTGCAAGCAAACTGCAAGCAAACATTCGACAGCGGACCAAAGAAACATCACTTCCTTATGAACTGCCCAGAACACTTCTGACCCCCAAGCTGAAAACGCTACCGAGCTGCCAAGGATCATCCAGAGGAATTAAAATAAACATACCAGGACTGACGGCAGGCTCATGAACGTGCACTTGAAAGGGTATTTGCCCAGTCACTAACAAACAGAGCCTCACACACCTGCCGTAAAGTTTTTCTACAGTTAAGCTCACTCACATCACTCTGTAGGTCGTAGGCCTTCCTTGCTTGGATCACGTCATTCTGGTCAGGCAGACAGGTCCACTGGTGAAGGTAGTGGCGGTAGTCCACATCACTGACTAGTGTCTGGCACTCCTTGGCTGCCTGCACTGACATCGCGTCGACTGGAATGTGGATCCGGGCCTTGGAATCGTGGTACGCCTTCCTGTAAAGGCGGTCGTTCTGCAGCAACTGAGGTAATGGGCGGTAGTCCACATCACTGACTAGTGTCTGGCACTCCTTGGCTGCCTGCACTGACATCGCGTCGACTGGAATGTGGATCCGGGCCTTGGAATCGTGGTACGCCTTCCTGTAAAGGCGGTCGTTCTGCAGCAACATGGCACGCGCAGCCCACGACAGCTTGGGATCCTCCCGGGCAGTTCGGCACCCGATGTAGTGGCCCTTCTGCTTCTCATGCGTCTGTTTGTACTTGTACTAGAAATGCAGAAACAAAGTATTAAAAGAAATAGAAAATCTTGCATGAATTTCCCATAATGTCATATTCTACTGATCACAAATTTATTTTTTGTGTTATGAAATATACTCCTTTAGAGTTTAGAAATGCCTAACACATTCTTGCTCCACAGCTTTTATTTATTTTCATTGTAGTTCATTATTTTCTGATATCTGCTTAATGTCAGGATTTATAACTCAGTGTTGCCTTTGGAAACTTTTGACCATTTTCTTTCTGCAGTGAATTTGTTGTAGGCTTTGTAGATGAATCTGTTACACCATGTGTTTTTATATTGTTCACAGCTTATTACTTTATTCTTGTTTCTTAAGCTAACTGAAAATAAACGTAAAGGAAGGACATACATCACTCGCAATATCTCTTGATGCCTTTGCACTTCGGATTGGAATTGCATCAGCTCTCATGTCATAACCCTTCTTTTTGGCCTCTTCCCAGGCTTGTATATAAAGTTTCTACACAAAAGAAGAGAGAAAATGGCTTCTCAATATTCCAAAAGATGTTATTTCTACATTTCATCTTTTTTTCTTAAAATTTTAATGGTTCTTTATGGCTAGAGATGCTTACTTAATTTCTGAATTTCCATTACTTTAGTATATTTTTAAATGTTCTTACATGGCTAATGTTAGCTGCATTGGCCTTCGCTAACAAAATTGTCGGTGTGTCAGGCATGACGTGAATCGATGTTTTGTCTGCATCCCAGGCTTCCGTGTATAAACGCTAGGAGAGAGGAAAACACATTCCTTTAAAAAGTTTCTTTGGGTGTGTCATGATGGAAAGACTGCAAATTTGAACACAGTAGTCACCAAAAATATATCCACGATATAAAAGAAAAGTAATCTCAAAGCAGAACAAGATATATATAACCAAACTAATTCATTTGTCCAAAGAAAGTATTTTACAAACTGCAAGGGGTAGTTCAAGCAAGGTTTAAACACCCTGACATAGCAAAGCTTCTCATTGAACAGCCCAAGAAGGAAACTTTCTTTGTTCATTATTTCCCAGGCTAAGTTGGCACAGCAACTGATTGATTTAGCATTCCTGTAGGAGGAAAACTGTCTTCATTATTCTGCCGTATCTGTACAAGTTGTTTGATTGATGTTTCTTATTACAGAGAAGGAGTAGCTACTGTGTGACTTTCATCCTCCAGGTCTGAGATAAATTGCAGAAGCTTCACTTCCAGAAAACATAAGCTATTTCCTCATAACTTGCTCATCGTGCAATACATCATTCAGTCAACAATATATCACCATAGCAGCTGCAATAAGAGCGTCAATATTCTGCTACATCCTATCTTATAGCATGGTCACGGCACCACCACCTCTGGACATACCCTAACACCTTGCTCGAATATTTTTTCTGCAGATTTCACAGTATTGTCTAAGAACTGCAAGAAAAATTTAGCCTGTTCTGTCAGAGGTGAGCTTTGTATTAAGTAGCACTAACAAAATAGAAAAAGTTTATAAAACATTTAAAAATAGGATTTCAGCTGGGATAGGAGAAAGAGGGAAATTCACCATCATTTTTTGTATTACTCTTGAAAAATATGCAATTTAAGTGATTTTTTGGGGCCATTTTTACTAAGTGTTCAGTTCAGACAGAGCTAAGAGCTTTTCTGTGCAAAGGCTGAACTCGGACACTCATTTTCTCAAAGTTCACAACAAAACTGTTTAGTCTTACTTTGCAGTTTGTATTGTTCATCTCAAGTTCTAGTAGCTAGCAATACTACTGATTTTGAGAACCACCTCCTCCCCCCAAATCTCACCTTGTTCATTATCTCAGCATTTTGCTTGGCTAAGACCATGGCCAAAGAGTCTGTCACACTAGTAAATTTAATTTGGTCAGCTGGCTGACGATACTTCCTTTCACTCAGGATTTCCCCAGCTTTCTTAGCCTTCTCAACTTCCATGGAACCAATAGGAACCCATCCAATACCTCTTAGCCATTCCAGGTCTGATTTGTAAACAGCCTAAAAAAAATTGAAAGTTCATTATATACATGTAAATATGATCAAATATTAAAATAATTATAAAAAAGCACCTCCTCGTCTATACAAACAATTGTATACATTTCTGCATAGTAGCAGTATATGTTTTGCAAACATTTGTTATTTTTGAAGATTTAGTAAAATAATTATTAAATAACAAAGGGAACAGCGTTATTGAAGAACTCTACAAATACCAGTTCCAAACAAATTATACCTCAGGCTAAGGACTGAGAGAATAGAATTCAACATAAATTTGGTGATAGGATATTAAACATTCCACCTCTATCAACATGTCTGATGCAAGCGACTAAGGCATATTCTATGTCTTTCAAAAACTATATTGTACAAGACCCAGTATATTTAAAGATGTATTACAAATTGAACAAATTGCTCACATCACTCTGCAGATCGTAGGCTTTCTTAGCATGGATAACATCGTTCTGGTCGGGCAGACAGATCCACTGGTGCAGATAGTGGCGGTAATCAACGTCACTGACCAGCTCCTGACATTTCTTGGCCAACACGATTCCCAGCATGTCCACTGGGCTACTGAAGTGTGTCTTTGTCTTCTCAAAGGCTTTCTTGTACTCCCTGTCACTCTGGATCTTGGCTACGTGCATCGACCACATCATCTTCGGGTCATCCTCTATGTTACGGGCCCCTATGTGGTGGCCAAGCTGCTTCCGATAGCCTTCTTTGTATTTGTACTGAAATAAAGTATATTCATATTCACATGTTATATTTATAAATTAATAAATAATACACACAGTTTAGCATAATCATTAATATTTTGTTAGAGAAAAAAATTATTTAGGTTTTTCTACTGTTTTATTATTTTTCTCCTAAAAAGGATTTTTATTACAGATATTATCTCCGATTTTTGATATAACACACTTTCAGTTAGCTAAATGTTTATTGTCACATACCTAGTAACAAGTTTGATATTCCACATTCTTTTAACATTAAGATTAAAATGAAAAGATTAACTTATTTTAAAAGCTTATTACAAAACACCTTGATGAGCATAGTTTGAGTTGATCTGAACACTAATAGTTGAAATATCAATCTTAATAGAAAAACAAAGAGCACAAAAAACTGCTATCCTCTGCTCTTGGTGATGTTTCCTCATCCCAGAAGCAAAACCTGTCATAGTCATTGCGTAATTTTTTTCCTGTTTTTGTATTCAGACATCTTGAATTTCAATATGACACTTCAGCAGAACTATTTTTTCCTCAGGAAAAGATAACAATTTTGAACTTTCAGAATTGATTTACTAATAGATCTATTTTGCGAAGAGATTTTAAAGTATTTCCTATTTTGAATCAGAAGTTTGACTAACTCTGGCATAGAGTTGTACACCTTATTGATCATCCTACTACAACATCCATGGACATCAATGGAACTATTATTAGTATAGAAATAGTACAGAAATATAGATATAGAAATATAAATATAGGTATAGAAAAAATCATTCTATTATTTTATTTATTTATTACTGTGAAATATACCTCACGCACAAAAATACTGGCTATCCATTCCTTTCATGTACTAAAGGCATGCAGGAGAATCACTGGAATTTCAACATTACTTACTGTGTAAACTTAAGGTATTACATTAAAAAACAATGGAACAAAGATCCTGATTCTTTTCTGTTACCAAGTCCATATAGACATGATAAAAAACCTGCTTACATCACTGGCAATCTCTCTGGATGCTCTGGCAGCTTGAATAGGAATGGCATCAAAACGCAAATCATGACCCTTCTTCTTCGATTCCTCCAGAGCTAGTTTGTACATTTTCTGTGTGCAAAATATTCACATTTTTATTTCAAAACCAAAATAACACTTCAGTTAAGCACATCTGTGTAATAAACAAAATAAGTCCCTAAACAACAATTGTTAACATTCAGACAACTTAAATATCTGAACACTGCTTTGTCTTCTTGAGAAAATAAAAAAAATGCAGATTTCAAAGATCTTGTAACTGTATTGGAGACACTTGGAAACTGGAAATCATTTAGGGAAAGCAAAGAAAGGAATAGTCTAGAAGTTAAATTATTTAGTTCCATACCTTGCTATGGAAATTATTTCTCGTTTATGGTAGACATTTTGAAAACTCTATTAGATACCCAAGGGGTAAGTTGTAGAGAAAGAACAACTCTGATTTTAGCAGTGGAGCTGGCAATTTGTGAAACTAAACAACTGGACAATATTATAATATTAATTAAAAGTCAGAGATGACAAAATTGTACTCATCAGAAATCCTTTAATTCTCTCAAGTCTTCACTTTTACGTACCTGACTGTAGTTTAATTGATTTTGTTTAGCTAGCAGGATTTCTGGTGTGTCAGGCATGACGTGAACCATGGTCTTATCTTTATTCCATGCTTCAGTGTATAAACGCTATGAAAGAATACAAGAAGAGATTAATATTTCATTCCAAAAGAAATTAATATCTCATTAATCAGGTAAAACCTATAGCTAGTATAGTAGGTAAAATCACAAGAAATACAGCATGGATAAATGGTTATGTATTTAATCAGGTAGAGATGTCATTATTAAAAAGATAATTTATATGAGGAAATTTAACACCACTTTGAAAACTATCACTTTACTTAAGAATAAGGAAAAAAACCCCAAGCATTATTACTGCTCACTGTACAGTCATGTCAAGGAAAAGATAAAATCGTAATACGCAGAATATAATGACAAAGCTGAGTCATCCATTACATGGCCTAATAGTTTTGATGGAAATAAACAGAGTACACTGTTTGAAAATACATCATCTCAGAACTTCAGCATTATTTGTGATCTTTAAATTTCCAGTCCTGTCTCCACGGTTTAGGTGGAAACTGCTAACATGTTACCTAATCGAACTGAGACTCACCTTATTCATTGTATCTGCATTCTGCTTGGCTAAGACCATCTCTAGAGAATCAGTGACGCTAGTAAACTTGATTGTGTCTGGGGGCTGACGGTATATTTTATCACTCAAGATCTCGCCTGCCTTCTTGGCTTTTTCAACATCCAAGGAACCAATTGGGACCCAACCAATGCCCCGCAACCACTCAAGGTCAGACTTGTAGCAGTTCTATTACAAAAAAAATACACACGTTATTCTAATAATAACAGTAATGCAATTTACATGGTGCATCTTTTCACAGTTAAGTAACCTCACTATCAACTTTTAATTCAAATTGATTCAAAATCCTGGAGAAAACCTTAGAAAAAATAACTGCATTGCATTTACATTAAGAGTGAAACCATTATCCAAGTTTCACAGAATGGCAAATGACAAATAGCTCAAATTCTGGAATTACAGTATTTAATTTAAATATCAATTAATTAATATATCATACTGGAGATCTGAGTTTCAATTAGCCATGAAACTTAAAATAAAGTCTTGAAAATTTGGTTCTACCATATTGGTATGTGAGGCCTGGTCCACCTATGTAAAACAGTAAATACATTCCTCACCAAAAATTAAATCAAAAGGAGCTTACATCACTCTGTAGATCGTAGGCTTTCTTAGCATGGATAACATCGTTCTGGTCGGGCAGACAGATCCACTGGTGCAGATAGTGGCGGGGAACAAAGGCACCGACCCGCTCTTTCTTGGCCAACACGATTCCCAGCATGTCCACTGGGCTACTGAAGTGTGTCTTTTTCTTCTCAAAGGCTTTCTTGTACTCCCTGTCACTCTTGATCTTGGCTACGTGCATCGACCACATCATCTTCGGGTCATCCTCTATGTTACGGGCCCCTATGTGGTGGCCAAGCTGCTTGCGATAGCCTTCTTTGTATTTGTACTGAAATATAAATCAAGATATTATATTTCTATATCACCCCCAAATATCAGTTACTCCTATTAAATATTTCTAATAGTAAACTCTCCAAATTCGTGTACAACCTACAGTCAAAAGAGCCAATCTGTCAAAGCAATTCTGGGATTTATAACATGGATTCTTGCCTTAAATTTTTGAGATTTGAGTTAGAACCATAAACAGAGATTTTTTTCAGTAAGTTTTTTTGAAAAAAACCTCTTCTGTAATATTAGTGAGAAATATTCCTATCTCATTAAAGTTATTTAATCTTTATTAAATATATTAATATACAAACTGTTAACATTTAAGATACAGGTTTATGAGCTATAACATTAACATGATAGCAGCATTGTATTCACAGAATCACAGAATGGTAGGGGTTGGAAGGGACCTCTGTGGGTCATCTAATCCAACCCCCTTTATAACTTTCCAACATTTCATTTTTACAACTAAATCTTTGAACATATATAATAATTTGCTTCCAAAAATCTATTGTTTGAGATCACAGTTTAATTGTAATGCCTTTTACAGAATCCAGTTGATAACTTTCAGGTCACAGAGATCAGATGTCACCACACAAAGAAACAAAAAAGTAGCTTCTTACATCACTGGCGATTTGCCTGGATGCTTTGGCAGCTTGAATGGGGATCGCATCACTTCTCAAATCATAGCCTTTCTTTTTTGCTTCTTCCATGGCCTGCTTGTATAGTTTCTAGATGAAGAATTAAACAATGGGATTCATATAAGTTCATTCCGTATATTACATTCTATGCAAAACAAACTGCTTGTAAGTAGAGTATATTTTTTAAAAATTAAGATTTATTCCAACCCAGCTTTATCTAACTTTCTTAATTCAAAGCCCCAAATCAGCAGCTGATACAAATTCATTTCAAAGGAAGATCTTCACTAAATATATTAGCTAACAATTTTTTTCTTTCAATACTTTCATAGCACAACATTGACCACAATTTTAGAAATAAACTGGTCTTCTATACAAGTGGAGTAAAACTTACTTTTAAAAACCACCTCTTACTGAAGTGAATTTATTTGCCTAAACCAGCATTGAACACTGGGATCACTGCTCTTCAGAAATGTGCTAGAAATTACCTTTTTGGTATTTGCAGTGTTGGAACTAATTTTGTACCTTCCCAACAGTATGCACACTGGCAGAAATGACTCCAAAAATTTCACTGGAGACCCACAACTTCTCATGGAATTTATTCTCAGTAGTGCTCACTGTTGTGTGTATCCACGACTGTACAAACACGCAAACAATTTTTTTAAGTCACTATTTTGAGGATAAATATTGGGGGTTACTTGAAGAAACTAATGGTAGCATGTATGTAAGTTTGTCAGAATAGTGATGCTCCAGCCATGAAACAGACCAGTTATATCCAGAGAGCTAACACACTCACCGCACTGTAGTTTTGCATGTTCTGTTTTGCCAGTGTGATTTCAGGTGTGTCAGGCATTATGTGGATTTGTGTCTTGTCTTTATCCCAGGCCTCAGTATATAAACGCTGTAGGAGAAATAACATACGTCAAAGGGGAAAAAAAATGGTGACTACTTGGAGATCTCCTAAAACATAAGAAGAATTACAGATCTGTATTCCATGTCTAAAAAATCTTTATTACTTATATAGCAATGAGATTCTATATTCACTCCTCTAGATAGTTAATATCCAGGTTAAGAAAGAGTAACCTAGAAAGAATTCTGTTAAAAAAAAAAGTTTAGAAAAAAGGCACAGAATGCTAATCAGACACACAGAGATCTAAACTCTAAGGATAAGACCTGTTTGAAAGAGGAAATGGTTTTATTGACATCAATAGCATTGAGATCAGGGCCACAGATTCAGAAGAACTCTGACATAAGTGCTATGCTGAACTGTTTAAAATACGGATTTTTCAAAGACTACCCTAAAACACATAGTTTATTAATTACTAGATTACTAGATAAATTTGGTAAATTATTAAATTAGACAAATTGCTAAATTAAAAATTAGATGAAAATTAGGTAACACGTTACTAGATACACAGTAGCGTATGTGGAATGCTTCACAAACGTTAATTCCAATTTAGCTTAGTAACTTGACAGCTATTCTAAAATTAGCACTTGCTGAAAATAAGTTACCTGTTGATTACCAAGAATGTAACTTACACTTCTAAAGACTCACTGTGTTGAAATCTCACACAGCAACCACACATCTGCATTTCCAGTCCTGTCTCCACAGTTTAGGGGGAAACTGCTAACGTGTTACCTAATGGAATTGAGACTCACCTTATTCATTGTATCTGCATTCTGCTTGGCTAAGACCATCTCTAGAGAATCAGTGACGCTAGTAAACTTGATTGTGTCTGGGGGCTGACGGTATATTTTATCACTCAAGATCTCGCCTGCCTTCTTGGCTTTTTCAACATCCAAGGAACCAACTGGGATCCATCCAATGCCCCGCAACCACTCAAGGTCAGACTTGTAGCAGTTCTATTACAAAATACAAAGACAGCTGTCCCATTAATATTGCCAGTTAAACATTTCATATATACCATGCAACTAATGCTTACTTTCTGTAAGTTGCCTTTCTCGAAGTTCAATATGCAAAGCAATCTCTGTTAGCAACCTAGATTCAGACCCCTTATCTGTCTGCAGGAGGTATTATTCACCCAACAACAGATTGCAGAATAGTCAGTCACAGGATTAAAACAAAACCCTGAAAGTCGGTATAAAATTTTCCTGTAACATTTGTTCCCAACAAATAAAAGGTCATGCACTAAGAACAGCAGGTCTTAATGTGAAACATTTTCTCCAAGACAGAACAAAAAAAATATATCCACTAAAGCCATGCAACTAAAAAAAAAAAGTCATAATAGACAATTTCCTCTTTATATGCAGTTAATCTTCATATAAAGTTATTAAGATTATCCATTATGAAGGATTATATGCAGCTAATTCTACTATTCAGCTAATATATATATATCATTTGTACATAAACCTTCGTAATACTCAACCTTCGTTACACAGATTCATACACTCCTAAAAATCTTACGAACTTGGAACATGTAAATTAAAACACACTGTAAAAATACACTACATGAGAGAGACAGTTCAAGCAGCTCCTATAGTTTATATTCCAAGAAAATGACATACGCTTCAGAACTCCAACACTTATCAGCAAGTACTCACATCACTCTGTAGATCGTAGGCTTTCTTAGCATGGATAACATCGTTCTGGTCGGGCAGGCAAGTCCACTGATGCAGATAGTGGCGGTAATCAATGTCGGAGGGTGCTTGTAATCAACGTCACTGACCAGCTCCTGACATTTCTTGGCCAACACGATTCCCAGCATGTCCACTGGGCTACTGAAGTGTGTCTTTGTCTTCTCAAAGGCTTTCTTGTACTCCCTGTCACTCTGGATCTTGGCTACGTGCATCGACCACACCATCTTCGGATCATCCTCTATGTTACGGGCCCCTATGTGGTGGCCAAGCTGCTTCCGATAGCCTTCTTTATACTTGTACTATAGGCAAAAAAGTGTTCAGTGAGTTTTAGTTTAGTTTTCTTTATGTCCTTCGCAGCCCCTGTGGCACAACCTCCAGAAAACTTAGTATCTGAAACCACAGAGACTTTAGACTAAGAAAACATTCAACTGATGAACTGCAGTGCAGAGTTACAAAAGGATTCACATAATATTGTCCGCGTGATATGACCTTCACTTTTTTGAAGTAACACCCTGGCCTACGTATTAAGAGCTACTACTCTGTTACTGAGAGTTAAAAAAGTCTCCAAAATACGGCAGCAATGCAAAAGGCCTGAAGTTCAACAAGTATTCCACACATAAAGGATCAATTAGTGACCTTCAAGGACACTAGCAAAATAAATTCCTGTTCAATCTATTCAGCAGATAAAAACTAGAAGACCATAGAGACAGACCTGGTAGTTCAACAGAGAAATTAAACACATATATGGAATAACTTTTGATATTCATGCTTAATAAAAAATTATTTACTTTTATAATGCCTTTTTTTGTACACAAAAACTTGGTTCGGCTTTCCTTCCCTAAAGTCCAGCTCAGCTGTGCAGCTGCAGCATTAGGGGCTTGCACACTGGCAGTACTGAGAGGGCAGCACACCATCTCAAAAGTCCAGCCTGTCACACGAGGAGATGGTCCCACAGGTCCAGGAGGGACGCTGCTTTGGAGTGTCTCCATCACCCACCTCCCACAGTTACTACAATCCCACCATCTACACATTCCCTCACAACGCTGCACACCATCACGTGCAGGGACAGCTACAGGCAGACCCTCCACAACCAACACGGTCATGCACTGGGTGAATGGTAATGACAGGCAAGTGCTGGGCTGCCTCTGTTTCTCAAAGGCTGCAAACCCTGGTCTTCCACTGCCAGCACCTGCAAACTGCCCCAGAGGGCGTGATGCCAAGGGCTCCTGGGTACTTACATCACTTGCAATGTCTCTGGAAGCTTTCGCAGACTTGATAGGAATGGCATCTGCCCGCATGTCGTAGCCCTTTTTCTTCTCTTCCTCCATCGCAAGCTTGTACAGTTTCTGAAAGAAAAACAAGCATTCCCCTCAAACTACACTTCTTCCCCAGCCACAGTAGTGTCCACGCACAGACGCTTAACCCCAGCTCAGTCACCCACCTCACTGAGGTTCGCTTGGTTCTGCTGGGCTAGCAAAATACCAGGTGTATCCGGCATAATGTGAATGCTGGTTTTATCTTTCTCCCACGCCGACGTGTACGAGCGCTGAAAACATGAGTACAACGACAAATAAGATCACACAAGCACCAGGCAACAAACCCAGAAAGCACACTGGCTCAACAAACTAAAGCAAGGGGCCCTGTGCAAAACACCAGGCCCTGCGAGAAGAGAGCCCACTGTCCTGTGAAAGGAAGGCACTCCTTTGCTTCCAGCTGAAAACACAACAAAGTCTCACTTGGTTCATAATTTCAGAGTTGTGCTTTGCCAGAACCATAGGCATCGAGTCAGGAAGGCTCGTGAATTTGATGGTGTCTGGGTGTTGCCGATACTTCTTGTCACTCAGGATGAGGCTCGCCCTCTTATTCTTCTCATCATCCAGTGAACCACTTGGCAGCCAGCCGATGCCCCTCAGCCACAGAAGGTCGGACTTGTACACATTCTGAAAGGACAGGCAAGGACACAAAGCAGCTCAGTAACCGCCTGACTCCACACAACCACTCCTCCCACCAAGGGAAGTTCTGACTACCAATGCACGTTCCCCAGGGTCAACCTACCAGCCACCACAAAAGGGATTCCCATCAAGCTAGCACCCCACAACCTGGTTCCCAACACATACAACAGCACACTGCTGCCAAGCAATCCACAAAGCCTTCCCAACCATCTTCTTGGTCTTCCAGTGAAAGACCTGCACCATTTGGCAATCTCCAGCTGGCAGAGGCATGGGCGGTATACCATTCACCTCTGCACCCATGGCTTGCCTTTGCCCACTGACCGTCCTCCAAAACAAAAGAGTTGACTCTGTTGCCCTTCCCCAGCCACCTGCCACAACCCTCCCCACCAACTGCTCACGGCAACACAGGACCCTTCTTCC